GTGAAGACTCTAGAAAAGATTCCATTTTACTGTGCACATTTGCAGGAGAAAAAAACATCCAGCCAGATAATGTTCACAAGAGTTAGTGTGACCCTAGTTGTCCTCCTGGCCAGCAGTCACAGCAGCAGACACCCAAGACACTCTGCCCTCTTTGGCTCTGGTTGATTTCTGTAACTGTGTCAAGATGCCATGGGCAATGAACCAAGGGAGGCTGTGGGCATTGCAAACCTTGTTGCACGCAGCCCTCAGGTTGCCTATTTAAGAGAGGAGTGGTGTTCAATGGATTCCTGGTCAGGAGGCAGGTCAGATGCCAAAAGAATTGAACCTTGGATGGTGTATCAGTCAGGAACATAGAAATCATACTAGTTACTTTAACAGAGGGAATTTATTGCAAGGACTGCAGAGGCCAAAAGGCAATGTCTAGGAAACGTAGAGGTGGCAATTGAAGGAAGCCCCTGGAGGGGTGGCAGTTAACAAAGGGAAGAGGTGGGAGTTACTGGAACCCAGAAGCTTGGAGGAGGAGCTGGGTGGGGAAGTGAAACTCAGACCACAAGGAAGGAGTAACCGACAGTTGGTGCCGGTATCTACGAGGCGCACAATAAAGGCTGGCTCTGAGAAGGGGGAAGTTGGCCACTCAACCAAGAGCAGCTGCCAGGGTAACGAGCTGTTGCCACCATGACACTCAGGAGTGGGAAGCAAACTGCAAGAAGCAAGTCCCTCCTTTCTCCCCCTACTTTGCAGGCTTCCTTCAGCACCCTCTTTGGCAGGGCATAACAAGGTGCCACTGGCAAAGAGAAGTAAGGCTTGCAGAAGCCCATCCCCAGCAGCCACAGGAAACAAATACAGTTTCCAGTCTTGGACTATTATAGATAATGGTGTTTTGAACATTCTTGTGTATATCTCCTGATGTACTTGTGCACTCATGTTTGTGGGTATGTACCTAGGAGTGTACTTGCTGGGTTTAATAGACACACATATTAACCATTCTGGTGAATGTGTAGTGATATCTCATTGTGATTTCAATTTGAAGATTTCCAATTATTATTGAAGTTGACCATCTTTGACCACTTGGATATCCTCTATGGAAAGTGCCTATTAAGTCTCTAGCCCATTTGCAATTGGATGGTTAGTCTTTTTCTTATTGCTCTGTGGGGATTTTTCTTTTTTTCTTTTCTCTTTTTTTTGGAGGAAGATCAGCCCTGAGCTAACTGCTGCCAACCCTCCTCTTTTTGCTGAGGAAGACTGGCCCTGAGCTAACATCCATGTCCATCTTCCTCTACTTTATATGTGGGACGCCTACCACAGCATGGCTTTTGCCAAGCAGTGCCATGTCCACACCCGGAATCTGAACCCGTGAACCCCAGGCCGCCGAGAAGTGAAACATGCGAACTTAACTGCTGCGCCACTGGGCCAGCCTCTCTATGGGGATTTTTAATAGATTCTTGATACAAGCCATTTTGATTTTAAGTGTTGCAAATATCTTCTCTCAGTCTGTGAACTTGCCTTTTTTACTCTCTCAATGGCATCTTAAGATGAATAAATATTCCCCTAATTTTATGCAGTACAATTTATCAATTCTTTCCTTTGGAGTTAGAGCTATTTGTGTCTTCTTTAAGAAATATTTCCTTATTCCGGAGTCATGAAGATATTCTTCTGTGTTATATTCCTTTTTTTTCCTGTTTTCCATCTCTTTGTCCATATGTACTGAATTCTAGTAATTCCTTCAGATCTCTTTTCTGATTTACTAGTTCTGTTTTCAACAGTTTCTGATCATCTACTGTGTTTCTAATTAAAATATTATATTTTTAATTTCTAGAAATTCTATTTTTTCTCCAATTCTGCCTGGTCATTTTCAGCCTCTGGTTCCTGCATCGTCTTTTTGAAATACTCTTTATTTCTTTAAACATATTAAACATATTTAATGTCTATTATGTACCTAAAAGTTACAGTATCTGTAGTGATTGCAAGTGTGATTCTACAGTTCAATGTTTCTGCTGTCACTTGCTTATAGTGGCATGTTTCCTTCTGATTTTTATAATTGTTTGCTATGAGCTCAAGTTTGTTGGAATTTTATCTATGGGAATGCTTCAAAGTCTGGATTTTTCTTCCAGAAAAGAATTGTACTTGCTTGGGCTTAGAAACACTACTAAATTGAGATCACTTGATTTTTTTTTTTTTCTTGCCTCCAAAAGTGTAAGGGCTTGGAAATCTCTGGGGGACTCCCCCAGCCCTGGACCTGAGCCAAGACCTATTTGGGTAAGTATCCTCACGTCTCTTTTACTCACCGAGGGTGTTGCCTTTTGAGGATTCCAGCTTTATGACAGGGTCTCTGATGCAACTTCCCATTTTGTATGGGCTCCAGGCTTTGTCTGGTGTCCCTGAATTTGGCCTGTTAAAACCCTGGCCTTGGGCGCCAGGAATCTGCAGTTGCTACCAACGCAACGTGGCCTCAGTGCAGGCTTACCATTTCTGGTTTTATGCTTTCTTATCTCTTCTCATATTTCTTTCCCTTAATTCTGCCAGCCCAGCAATACATTTAAAATATGTTTTTAATATTTTATCCATCATTCTGAGTGTTCTCTGCCAGGAGGGTTTCTCAGCACATTTAGTCCACCATATTATCAGAATGGAAATTCTAAAATTCTTCTTAGAAGATATGTCACTCATGCAGGAGCCCCATAAGGCAAGTAGTTTCTATTTCAGCAGTCGGTTAAGTATGTTTTACAAACCCAAGTTTTCTCTTTCCTTCATGTTTGCTTAAGGTGTCTCTGAAGAAAATCCTTCTATAAATTGCATAGTTGCCATAACTGAGCACAGATTGAATGAAAGCTCTGTAAGGATAGCAATTATTGCACTGCATAATGAGATGGTCATCCAGAACCACCTCAACTTGAGAGAAAACAAAGGCGAGAGAGAACTGATCAACCCTGTTAATACCCTTCTTTTAAGATCAGGGCCATCTTCCTTCACAATGTTGCAATTTAAGAAGAGCTAGAAGTTGTTTCAAACTAGATGATCTCTCTGGCTTGGGGATGTAAATTTAAGTGGAGAAGATTCTGGCAAAGACAGAGAAGATATTTCAACATAGATACTTTGTTAACTTAGGTCTATTGTGGGAAGCTTCTGGATAATTCCAGTTCTGACCTTTTACAAAGATTTCTTGCAATGCTTTACAGAAAAAAATCCTCCAGTAAAGGTGATGGGGCAAAAAGCCCTGCCAATTTCTGTCTTCTCAAGCTAGAAAGAACACTTTTCTCCTTCTTAAAAGGGCTTTAGGAGGATCAACATATAACGATTGACTTAGGATTTTTACTATTTTCTGGGAGGCTGCTGATGGCTCTGGCTTCTTTTAGTATGTGTGAGGCCAGCCCTTTTCCGTTCTAGGTCTTAAATAAGCATGGCGTTAATAACACACCCCATCGCTTCACTGGTAGTGTTTCCAACAGCTGGTTTCTTGGGAAGATTTGCAATATCAAGATCTCGTCTACAAAGTGTCACTGCCCTTTAAAAAAGGCTACCCAGTCTTCTTCCCCAGTGCCCCCATATATGGCTCACACATAACAGGAATCCCATGAAAATCTGTTAATCCTGGGTGCTGTAATCCTCAAAACACAGCCTAGTATTTTCACAATTTTTTAGTAACTCCATTTTTTTCCCCAAGTAGAACCTACCTTTCAAAGGCACAAGCAGATATTCGTTTTATAGTAATGTATGAGGGATATCTTCATAATGACCTTCCAAAAGCAAAATAGGTCTATCCTGGCCTGCCCTTATGTCTAGGGAAATAAGGGTGGCAGCATGTTGTTGCCGATAGGCACCTGGTGAGGGTGATCAAAAGGGAGCCTCACCTCCTTGGCCAGTTGGTGGAGTAATACAACTGTGCTAATCACATTGAACCAGCCTTGGCATGTGAAGGAAGAGGAGCTTTGCTGACTGGCACATCCCACATCTGGCAACCCTCCCAGCGTCAGGGCCAACGGCTTCTTGCGATGAGATGGAGCCCTTCCCAGTAGGCTTGGCACACGCCCACACGTCAGCGACTATGGCTGAGCTTTGCTTCACCTTCTGGTTTATGCTGCTGAGTTTCTTCTCAGAGCATATCAGAGCTTGACAGTTTTACATTCACCTATCGTGGGTGCATCAGTTATGGCTGGCTCCCTCCCCAAGCCTTATTCAAAGTTTGCATCTTTAGAGAGCGTGTGACCCTTATTTTCACCAGGACTCCAGAGCTCCAGGGGCTTTGGCAGCCACCAGGCTGTTAGCTGTGGCTTCTGCGATGTGTGACACAGAACGTATTTTCATCCAACTTGAACCCAACGCAGAGGTTCTCACCCGCTGAAACCTTGATATCACTGTTGTTATTTGGGTCAGCCCGATTTCTTTTTTCTCCTTCCAGCATCCTTAATGTGGAGGATTGTTTCTATCTTGATTCCTGGATCATAATTTTTTGTAGGTTAAAAACCCTCAATCGTCTTTACCCCTTCATAACTTCTCAGCTTATTCAATGGGATTGGTCCTTAGCGACCGCTTCAGTCTCCACTAATGTCTCACTGGTGGCTGGTGGTCAGCTCCTCTATCTTTCAATTATCTCCTCTGGGGTTACCCATAATCCTGCAGCTCCTGCCCTAGGCAGTTGAGGTGGTCCCTTGTCCTTTGTTTCGCTGCTCAGCGGCTGACCCCTTGCCGTGTCGGAAAGGCTCCTATCCCAACTTGAGGCTGGGGAGGCAGAGCCCTCACAGAGGGGGAACACCCCTTCTCACTTCCCAGGTACCTCCAGCAGCCAACCTCAGGGTAGGGGGAGAAGGAAACCCAGGTTCAACAAAGAGGAGATAGGTATTCACTCCTGGGGTTTCTCATCATCGAAGCAGGGACTGTGGCAGTTCTTTTGGAGGCCACTTGCTGGCCAGAGCACGGGGACCTGTGGTTGGTGGCGAGTCCAGTGGGGGTTGGGGAACCAGGCAGCCTGCTCACTGGTGAGGGGGTGTGGAGTGGGGGCACAGAGAAACAAGGAAGAGCTGAGGGAGGGAGCTCAGGGAATCTGGGGTCTGGAGGTCAGGGAATTCTGGGCTCCTGGGTGTCTGTAACAGTCATGCTTCTTGTCTGAGCTCTGCGAGGTGGGTGGGGCTGGGGGCTCAGAGCCCCGAGAGCAGAGGGCTTGCTGGGTGTGCACTGGTTCCATGGTAGGAGACTCAGAAGCGCCTTTACCTTCAGGGGGAATGCGGGGCCGGACCCTGAACCCTCGGACCATTTACCCAGTGTTGCCCAAACTCCTTGCCCTCCTGCCCATGTCCTTTCAGAAGCGACTTCACTGCAGAAGCTGTAGCCAGGTAGGACCTATGTTGTGCAGATTGGCTCCTCCTTTCCCTGTCCAGACTCTTAGTGCACCTTCCAGGTTCCCTTCCATCCCTTTCTTTGTCCTCCCCCAGCACCCGTTTTGCTGATTATTTGCCTGAGCCTGGACTGTCCCACAGCAGCTGCCCCGGCTCCTTCCCACAGGGCAGTGCTGGCTTGGTGGGCAGAAGGGTCTTAGCCTGGAGAGGCGCACAGTGTGCTGGTCCCTGCATCCCTGTGCTCTGCTCCCTCCTTTCTCCCCTGCCCCCTTCTTGCTGATCTCCTTTCTAGCTGAGGTCAAAGTAGGGTCTTTCACCCTTTCCGCATGGGTTCCTTTAGCACCCCTTTGTCTCATGTTTACCCCACCCTGCTGCCTTTGTTCTGTGCTTCTCAGGACCTCTCCATGGACACTGCTATGTTTCCAGAGAAGATGAGTAATGGGATGCTGAGGGGCAGCAGAGACAAGGAGGCCATGGCAGTGCCTGAGGAAGGCTCAGCGCACCAGGCGAGCAGCCCCACCTTCATCCTCCAGGAGACCTCACTGTGATCTGGACTCAGGACCCAGGCCTCTGTCCACACTCTGCCAGGCACTTCCCCTCACCCCAAACCCTTTGTCTCTCGAAGACGGGGACTGATTCACTGTCTTCCCTAGGCAGACGGTAGAGCTGTCGCATACAGGGTCATGGGGGTGGGGTAGGTGCTTTCTTTGACCATCACCGATCTAGTCTAGAGACGAGATTCTAAAAATTTTTGATCTTAGGACCCCTTTATACTCTTAAAAAAGTAGGGCTCTTAGGAGCTTTTGCTTATATGGATATTTCTATTGATATTTACCATATTACAAATTAAAATAGAGAATTAAAAAATATTTATTTAAAAATAACATTAATTAGCCCACTAGATATGAATATATCTAACATTTTTATGAAAAACAATTATTTTCCATACTGGAAAATATTTAGTGAGAAAAGTGGCATTGTTTTACATTTTTGCAAATATCTTTAACGTCTGTTGTAAGAGATAGCTGGATTCTCCTACCTGCTTCTACATGCCCTCTGTTGTTGCAATATCACATGTCATATGACTTCTGGAAAATTCCATTACACCAGTGAGAGAATAAGGGTAAAAAAGGGCAAATATCATTTTGTATTATGAAAATAATTTTGGCCACTTAGAGCACCGAAAGGGTCTCAGGGACCCTCAGGGTTCCAGGACCACACTTTGAATATCTCTGATCTGGAGCAAAGGTCAGCAGATTTTTCTGTAAGTGGCCAGAGTTCCTTCACAGGAACTCTGTAAAAATGTAGGCTTTACAGTCTGTTGCAGCTATTCAACTCCGCCATGGTATCAGGAAAGCAGCCGTAGATCACATGTAAGCAAATGGGTGTGACTATTCCAATAAAAACTTATTTAAAGGGGGGCCAGATTTGGCCCCCCGGCCACAGTTTGCCAGCCCTTGATCTAGAATATAAGCTTGCAGGGGCCCTGGGTTTAGAGCTTGCCCCACAAAAGGGAGAGGAGAGCACCATCTGACTCATCCTAGCTGGGCTCCTTCCAGAGGAAGAGAAAAGGAATTTCTCAGAGAAGACTAGATTTTCTGTTTCTGATTACTCTAGTTCCCAATTTGGTAAAATCTCCAGTCTCCACCTTCACACTTAGATACCCTTGGCCAGCTCTGCTCCTCCCACAGTGCATCTAGGCCTCTGCCCTGCTGTTCTGCTGCTCCTCAGAAAGCGCAAGCACATCCAAGTCTGAGGAAGCTGTCCTCACCTCACTGCCTCTACCCCCACCTCAAGTCACAGGCACCTGGGGATTCCGAGGGTGGTACCAGATAACCAAGTGGACCAGCCATCCCTCTGACTCCTGAGCCAGTGACTTGAGTGTCATTTTGTCACCTGTGCTCCTGTTTCCTTTTGGAGCCTCTTTCCCACTTACCCCTGTTCCTGGGGAATAAAAGCCGTCATTGGACCTGAATCTCAGCCATCTCCCAACGAGAAGGTGTTTTTCTTTCTCTGCTGCAGAGGCAAAGGGAGTTACTCCTGGTTCTGGTTCATTTGTGGATGCAAGTCTCTGACCTGATGCTTCCTCTGGTTTTCCCCCTTCACGCGTTCGTCCTTCTCTTGGCTCCACCTGCCCCGTTGCGGCCCGTTTGCTCCCTGGCCTGATTGCGCTGGGTGTTCTCCGGCTGGAGGAGATGGTCACTGGACCCCACAGAACTGTCTCAGCCACTAAGGAAAATAGCTTTGTCTGGAAAGAGCCCGAGGCAGTCTTAGAAACTTATAATGACACTTGCCCTTCCTCAGCCTTCCACCGGCCTCATCCTTCTTTTGCCCTCTTGTCTTCTCCACCAGGGTAATGTGATCACCCTCGAGGGGTCTGATGTTGTAGGCAAAGGCTTGAGTCTGAGCAGGGTGGGGTGGGGCAAGCTCCAGACCAAACCAGGAGAAGCCCCAATGCACACCCACAGCCAGCTTCCCCAGTTTCATCCCCAGAAAAATATTATGTGCCACCAGCTCAGGAAGAAATTTGTCTGCTTCTCTTCCTACCACCCTTGAACTCAACCAGGAAGATTCTGCTATTTGGCTTTAAAAATAGAACACTCAAGCTGGACTTTTATGGTCTTGTGGAGAACACTGTGTTCATGCCCACCCACACCTGGTCTCTGCCCCTGCCTGGCCCCGTCCAGCTGCCCAGAGGCAGCTCTGCACAAGCTCTCCAGGCCCCTCAGCAGAGACTTGGGAGATTTACGAGTTCAGCCTTGGCCAAGACTTCTCCTCTTGGCTCCCAGCCACAGTCCAGCTGCTCTCCCATATCCCATGCAGCCGAGGCTGGGACGTTCTGTGTCTCCTTTTCTGCCTCCAGCCCAACTTGCTGAGTCACCCCCTCAGCCCCTTTTCCCCTGCTGCCCTAGCCAGCCCTGTGGAGGAGCAGCAGCTCGTCACGCCAGAACCCAGACCCTGGGCCATCCCCGCGTGCCCAGAATCTCACGTATTTTCACAATGGCAGTGGTGGCTTCTGTCTAAGGCCACCCCTATTGTGACTCCAGTTGGCCCAGTCCATCCCCTCCCATTCTGAGGCACTGAAGTTTAACAAAAAAGTGGTTCCTTCTCTATCTAGACTTCAGGTGCCTGATATGAAGCTACACCTGATCTGGAAAGTTACTTTCAGCATGTGTAGACTCTGTGATTATCCCTCAAATTATTTCTTCAGGGCCAGAGATAAATTCCACTAAGACTCTTGGATTTCTGGCACCTTGTGGCAAGACATAGGGAGAGCCTGGGAAGCAGTGCCTGTGAGAAGGAGCTAACCCTACAGAGTTAATCTGTAGACTGATTGTAGAAATAACCCCAGAGCCAGTGAAGCCCTAAGCCAAAATCATACAAGGAACCCACTGAACCCAGGCCTATCTCGTTTTTCCTGGAGGTTAGTTTTCTAACATAATGGAAAGAGAAGACTGTAATTACCATTCCCTGGGAAACATACACGTTCTCCTTCTAAGGTCCCTCCAGGATGTAATTGAGTCTAGCGATATCCTCCACGTGCAAGGCCTGAAGGCGCTACCTGGTTCAGCTAAGGTAGAGCCGCTTGGGGGTGAGATCTTCTCAAACTAGGCAGCTGGGACTATCCAAAACTTTCTCTGGAAACTGGAATGTAAGCAATGTAAACTTTATGGCTTAACCTGTAAATATAACTCATATCAAGAAAAAAGTGGAAGAGTGCAGGGCCCAGAGAGGGAGAAAACGGAGTGACGATGCGCAGCTGGAGAGACCATAATGCAGAGACAAGACTCCTAAATTCCTCCCTGCATCTTTGACGTTGAGGAAGCATCTTGTGGTGCCATAATAAAGCAAGTTCTCTTCTTCAGTTTCCCCCTGGCTATGCGACCCCTGCCTGGCTCTGTTCACACTCACAACTGCAAGAGTCTGTTTGGCTCTTGGCTTTCCCAGTAGCACCTGCGGCCGCTGCCAACCTAGGCCCCTCCCTCTGTACCTGCGCAGCAATGTCTGTCTTCTTGGAATCTCCAGAGGGTTTGTGCGAACCTCAGGGGAGAAAAGCAAGGGGCGGTGCCCTAACAAGCTGCAACCCAATCAAACCTCTTCCTCTCCCACTTCGCTTGTAGCTGCCACAAAAGAGCCACTAGGGAGTCATCCCCTGGGTGCCGAGCTGAGGATTTGCTCCCTGGTGCTCCTGAGTATTCTCCATCACAGAAACTCCTGCTGCTTCGCCTGGTCTGGGTGCTGGAACCTGGGAGCTGAGTCTGAGTCAGATTCAGCGTGTGAGAGTCAGCGTGTACACAGGCAGGGCCTGGTAGAGAATCCAGGTCCCTAAGCTTGAGTTGCAGTCTAGGAGAAAAGGGTGAGTGTGATGATCATTTGTCACCAAGAGCTGGTGAGAGTGGCCTGGTGGGAAGGAGAGCAGCTGCCTCTCCAGAGACGTGGGCCCCAACCTCTGCCTCCTTTGTTCTTTGGCCTGAGGTGGTGGCTGTGGTGGAGTCGAGGCCAGAGCACCCCAGGCCTCCAGCATAGAGACGAGATCGCATCGGCCACTTCTGCAAGACACAGGGATGGGAAGTGAGTGATGCTCACTATTGCAGCCCCTTGTGGTCCCTGGCACCCAAAACTGGGCCTTCCCTAGCCCTCCTCCCTGAGACACTTGCCCAACATGATACCTTTAGGGACAGTATTCTCAGGCTCACCGCCACTTACAGCCCCACATGTTCTCCTGACCACTGAGCCTGGCTGAGGCACATGAGGAGCCATCTGAGGAGAGCAAGGGCCCTGTGGCGAGGGAGGTGGATGGCAGAGCTGGCAGCAGCTAGGGGCTGGGCAGTGGGGAGGGCAGCAGAGCCAGGCAAGGAGAAGCTCCTCCTGACATTGGACAGTGCTCACCCCTTCTCTCGCCTAGCCCGGGGCCCAAGTACCTCTGGCTCCAGATGTCAGTGCTATCTGCTTCCTCTAAGCAGGGACCTCCCAGGATTGTTCATCCTTCCAGCAGGAAAGTGGGCACTCCCAGAAAACGCCAGGTTGACTCTGCCCTAAAGTCTGCCTTCCTCTTGGCAGCCCCTCCACCTGGGGCTGAGGGGGCACTGCTCTTAGCTAAGTATCCCACCCAGCTGCCAGAGTTCTCAGCCTAACTGGGCTCTCATTTGTTCATTCTTCAATAGATTTATCCATCACCTGCTACCTGCAAGGGCTTTACCTTGGCCGTCATTTTACAGCTTAGGAAATGACTATGTCTCCCCAAGATCCTGCACCAGGTTCCACCATTGGCATTTCAGACTCGTCCCCATTTAGTCTCAAATTCTTACATTTTAGCTATACTTGCATGGAAGAAAAAAATCTCAAGTTTCAAGACTTTCAGAACTATGATGTTTAGGGGAGAGAGATGGTGAAAAGCATCCTCCATAAAAATAAAGTTGACCCCATTACAGTGCTATCCTCAGAGGGCAAAGGTGACTCTTCCCTTACAACACAGGTATACTCTGCCCCCAGCGGCTGGCCGTGCTGCCCCTGGGCCTGCTTGGTGGCTACTGATCTCTCTAAACTCCGGGTTCCTCATCTGTAAAGTCATCCTCATTTGGTTTTTGTGCAGATTGAAAAATTAAAATGCACTAAAGCACTTAG